TCGACTATCACTACAGTAAAACCTCTATATAACGTCCCTAGTCTATCACGACAGTAAAACCTCTATATAATGTCCCTAGTCTATCACTATTGTAAAACTTCTATATAATGTCCCTAGTCTATCACAAAAGTAAAACCTCTGTATGATGTCTCGCCCTATATTACTTTAAAAACACCACTAGATAATTTCTAGAATAACATCAATATAATTTCCTTTGTTAATAGCTACAGTAAAACATCGAAACAAGAAGATAAAATATGTCTTCCATGTCATTAAATGACCTAAGTTGAATTGGGGGAAAACTTATATTTACTTATAACCAAATATTTTACGACATTTTCTTAAATATTCTGCTATTTTGAGTGGAAACGCTCATAGTTCTTCCTGAATATTAAGTATGTAGTTATTATATTGCAAAGGATATTTTAGTAGAAAATCCGAACCCAACACAACATACGAGTTATGCCACTTTAAATTACTTTACAATATAATAATGATATAAATGTTAAAAGCACCTCGTGTGTTTTATTTTAATAAATTAGTATGTAAATGATAGATGGAAATGTTGCAATTATTGAAAAATACAGATGATTAATTGACATCTTCAGCTCTAAAATTTCAAAGTCAATACTTAAACAATTTATATTCCTTTTCCATTTTTAAAATTATTGAACACCTTGTCTTATTGTAAGATTGTGTAACAACCTACTTGTATACACCTTCTAATCAGGACAGAAGACATCCAGATCACAACAAAACTGGTACACAGGCAACATACAAATAAATATCATAAAATAGCATGCATATAGTTATTAACCAGATAACATATCTTAAATTTCAAACATGTGCGTTATTTTTACTATTATTAACCCTGTATCTTTTTCCCCTTGAATTTAACTCCCATCCCTCACCACCACCCGCCCCCTACCCCAATTCCGTCACTGTACTGCACTAACTATACAAATAAAGTTATTAATTTTACTTTTCCTCGACACCAACAAACCACCTTCACAACAGACATCATTTTTACATTAACAAATTTTCACAAAGGTACTCCTGGGAAATAATACTCCTCCATATAGCCCTCATCTTTTGGCCCGCCCTGTCTATACCGTCCATTTAATCCCTCCTCAAATTTTACTTTCAAATTCATTTCAATTTATTTACCCAACGGTTTATCAGTACAGTGCATATATTTACAGTGCAAGTACAAAAACAACAACAAACAGAAGACAAAACATGGCTTAGAACACACAGATCACACATATCCGAACAAAGCATAGAGAGTAATTCCAAACATCCAAATAACTCCAATATATTTATGTATGTAGATATATTTCTTAAGCAGCATTTATCCACCTTTTGTTACTGATAATGATATATTTTCCTAAATTCGACAAACTTTATTATTTTCTGTTTCCAAACATTGGATAAATTTTGCCATACTAGGTTTCAAATTATAATACTTTTTGATAAAACGTTTTTTGATATCGTTATAATGCTCGCATTTTAAGATAAAATGATACCCTTCCTCTATATCACCACTAGTACAATATGTGTAAACTCTATTCAACATTATAATATCTACCTGTTTCAATATCCAATTTATGCGATGGCAATCTAATTTTTGAAATTTGTTTAATATTTCGTAAACAAATAGGTTTTGTTAAATACTGCTAAATACAAAAGTTACCACTAGTATATATATAGTATACACTTAAATAGCAACCCAATCAAACATATGAATTCTTGCTGAAAAACATCACTCATCCTACTTTTAATTCAAATCAATATCACAATTTCATTGCTGTTATTACCATTTTCCTAGAAACACCCTAATGTTATTCTAAATACTTCATTCTTTATACTTTCAGTCCTTTCGCTCCCCCCTATCAATCATATCTTAGCAAACCCTTTGCACGCCGTTATCCGAGTTTCTAAGTTTTAGCCAATATTTCAAAAGTCTAAGTTTGCAAATTATATATAGAGGATGTCTGTCAATTTCTTGGTAAGCCATAATGTTTGTACTATTTTAAGCCCTGAGATTCCCTTACAAACATTTATATGTAGTTTTTCTACATCAGGCACTTTGTGACGCCAGATCACCATATGACAAGCATTTATCTTAGAACAATTTTACATATATATATCCATTTTAATAACATTGATATTCCAAATGCTATTCTTTATAAGACTTTCAAATCTAATTTCATACTTTACCCTGTATTATGCACTTTTATATAAAAAAAGGTTGGATAAAGTTTCATCAAGTCAGTAGCTCACATGCTTGAAGAGAAAGAAAGGATTGTAATAATAAGGATTGTCTCCTTACGAAAGACAGCTATGAACTGATGACCCACGCAGAGAAACCAAAAGAATAAATCAGTTGGACGGGACTTAAAATAGTGTTCCGTGTTAGAATGTTCAACTCATACAATGACGATTCCTTTGAGCATTGATATTAAGTGTAGAAATTTAATCTTAAATTCCTAGTGTTCTTGTCATTTTCATAACAATAGAATAAAAAAGAGTTCAAAATAATGACCTTTAGTGCACCACGTACAATATTCCGTGATTTAGGAGAGATGTTCTCAAAAGATAAATCTCATATGCCGGAAAGAGAGGAGTTACTTTTTTCTTTAAAGGAAATTCCAATTTAAGCCTTTTGAAGGTCAAATACAACGAGACAAGTGTAAAAGTTGACAACTGTCCAAAATTTAATCAAATCGGAAAAATGAATCTCCTAAATCCTGAATGACACTTGTAAAGAAAGTTATTTTCTGCTAAACAGATATTCAATTGAAAATGACATGTATTTGCGAATGTTTTTGACATTAAATATTGATTTTTAAAAAATTATACCAGTGAAGTATACCTTATTTATCCAAACCACAAATCATTACGTTACCATTAATTGTTAAAAAATTATCGCTATGACAGAAACACCACATGCTCTGTGAGGTTTAAGGCTAACCAATTAGCCGAAAATAAAGTTATTTCTCCACAGAGCCATTAGTAGCTTGTAACAGTCTGTCTCTTGCATTTATATGATAAAAATTGAGAAGTATTTTAAAATGTTGCATCTTTATCATCAGATTCGTCGAAGGTATGAATTGATACCCCAAGAGAAATAACTATATACTTAAAAGTTTGATACTTTTTAGACTGAGCTAATGACTTCAGTGTAAGTCCTTAAAGATCTAGCGTTGATACATATACTTAAATAAATCCTTATTTAGTTGATACCTGTTCTACTGTACTTCAATACTTCCATCTCCAATATTTTAATCAATCTGTACAGTTGATATTAGAACTGAATAAATTTGTAGTTTAGTTTTTTAATTCGGTACTTCAATAAATTCCTATCTCATTCTCGACCTGATACTTAAAACTTAATCAAATTTAAGTGATTCTTCACGGGAACTTCTCTCCAGCTCGTATATCGGAGCACAGGGACTTAGCACAAATTCCCATCCCAACGTCCATATGTAAGGGTTATAGTGACACAGGGAATTGACCTGAATTCCCATCCCAACGTCCATAAATAAGGGTTATAGTGACACAAGGACTTGGCACGAATTCCCATCCCAGCGTCCATAAATAAGGGTTATAGTGACACAGGGCCTTGGCACGAATTCCCATCCCTACGTCCATAAATAAGGGTTATAGTGACACAGGGAATTGACCTGAATTCCCATCCCAATGTCCATAAATAAGGGTTATAGTGACACAAGGACTTGGCACGAATTCCCATCCCTACGTCCATAAATAAGGGTTATAGTGACACAGGGAATTGACCTGAATTCCCATCCCAACGTCCATAAATAAGGGTTATAATGACACAAGGACTTGGCACAAATTCCCATCCCAGCGTCCATAAATAAGGGTTATAGTGACACAGGGCCTTGGCACGAATTCCCATCCCAGCGTCCATAAATAAAGGTTATAGTGACACAGGGCCTTGGCACGAATTCCCAACCCATGGTCCATATGTATTATACTACAATAACAAATATATGGACCGTTGGTTGGGAAATCGTTGAAGTCCCTGTGTATTGGGAAGCCGTCCGTAACTGACCCTTACTGTTGATACAACGATAAGCAATAGAAACCAAACGATTGTTGTGTTGCTTGCTGGAATTTTTAAGACTCGTACCCATAATTCAGTAAAAGTCAGTGTTTAGGTTATATCTTGATTACTGAACTTCCTCATTAATTCTTTGATAACTTCAGTTCTGGAAGCCTTTATGAAGTTATATTTTGACATCTTAAATCTTTACTGTCACGTGAGACTCGGGCTGCAATGGTTCGATGCTCCCGACAACTGTCAGTTAATGTTTCTGTGGTTGGTGAGAAACGGGCTGTCTTTTCTTATATAGATGTAATTTTAGGCAAGACACTTTACCCTTTTTTGTTCTGGACAGGTGCCCTGTACGTTGCTCATTGAGCTCGTTATCTGCTACAATAAGACCCGTCTTAGAATATCATTACCTGTTCACGGGGCTTTGATAAGTCGCCAAACATCCCTATTAAATTTTCGATTTGAAAAACGAAAGTCTGTGACGTCAAAGTGACCTTATGCCTGAAATTATGTGTGGTATATATACGTTGTACATGGCTGTAACATACATTATAATCTGAGTAGGAGATATTCTTGAATTCTTACGTGTAAAAGACTCGTTGTAAACTTTAAAATACACATACACATTCAAAAATAAAACGCAGCTCACGGTATACATTCAATTGTGAAGTCTTTGACTAATTTCCACTGAGTAAGCCTGAAAGTCGACAAAGCTTTAGCACGGACACACGTGTTTGTTGTCATGTGAATAGCTACATGTATGCTGTAATCCATCATTAACGTAAGCAGATTTTTAACATCAATGAATTAGACACAACACGGCATGTTCAGTTACATACTTCGATGCCCTCCCGTAAACAGGCAGGATCAAACATCCAAAGGTCATGAAAGGTCAAGCTAACAAGAGGCTGTTTACGAGAAGATTGTAAATTAGTGGTGCGTTAGCTCGGCGTGCAGGAGGATTCAAGCTGTCCGGCTAATGAACTAATTACGACCGAAATACACAGGTAGGATGATTTAAGATTTTAATGTTGTTTTGTCGAAATCAAAAATCTGTTATCTGGCTCTTAGTTTAAATGTAGATGATTAGCCTGCCAGCTAGTTTTTGGTACCGTAGACGACGAAAATAGCACTAGCTATCGAGCTGTAATGATGCATGTCGTCCCTGACTTTCAGATCCGATATGTTGACGGCTAACTCGTATTCTGTGTTTTGCGAATCTGTGTATCAGCTATGTACCAGATGTTTAAACGTTTTAAAAGTATTTTTACTTGCTGACATGTATATATAATATCTAAAGCCGACATACAAGACAAACACACGTGTAATGTACCTACGAGGCGTACACGTGTATAGCCTCCCGCTGTCGCGTACAAGTAAACATAATATCTTCTAAAAGACGACTTGGTTTGGCATTATTCGCTGTTTACAGGGACGTAGAGGAATCTGGCCTACTGATATAGGTGTGCTTGATGGCAAATGTTTTTGATAATAAGCGTTAATAAGCATTGCCATCTAATTACGAACACGTCTGTGATTGCTGTGATTATAATCACAATTACCAGCAGGGGCATGTCGTGATTGGGCCATATGTTGTTGCTTAAAATGTTTCGAGGTATGTTATGAAACACTTGTTTCATGATCTGATAATCTTGTGGCATTATGTGTTGAATTAAGAATTTCAAATATTTCATTATTTAAGAACTTTGGGTCATCTTCAGTCTATGACAGTCATATAAATAATGACTTATCACACTGATGATACTTAGTGTTACTTTCACAAGCATCACTGTAACCCTTGGAAACTCAAGGACAAGTTATTTCTAGGAGGGAAATATGTGACTCTGGTAAAATGCAAGCTGCGGTATACCACTCAGTCTGAGAGAATTCGGATATTCGGATAGTAAGTCAGGGGTCCCGGGTTCGATTCCTAGCGGAGGCATTGAAATAAATAATGACCTCTGTTACATTGGCGCCTATGTAGGGACTTGGGATTAATGCTTAAACCTGGAAACTTGAGGATGAGCTATTCCTGGAGGGGCATTTGTCACCCGGGTAAATACTAGCTGCAATATACCACTTAGCTAGAGAGACCTTCTCTTTAGCTTGGTTAGTCGAGCATCAGACTGGTATGTCAGAGGTCCCATGTTCGAATCCTAGCATAGACTTTGAATGAACGAACTCTGTTACATGTGCATGCATCTGTACTTGTGTGCATTTGTATGTCCATGTGTTTATCCATGTGTTAAGTAATTGTTCATGATACTTGTGAAACTTTCGACATTACATTTTGGTGGTCATCAGTCAAGGTTATTAAGATGAAAGGTCACCCTGGACAACTTTTGAAATGATAAATTTGTGTATAAGATATCTCATGAACTAATGGATAGTTCAGTTCATATTCACAGTGGAAACAATACCATTTTCCCCACCAAGTTCTATACCACAGTGAATTATTTTTTAAACAGCTTACATGCAAGATATTTCATTATCTCATGAATCCCTTTATACAGTACCCTCTCAATATGTTAAGATCAGAAGAAATAGGTGGTGGGGGGTATCTATGTCAGTCACGACCCACATTGTTTTTATTTTGTATATATATTTCATATTTGAAAGTAACAAGACTACTTGCATTTATATTTACATTTTTTTCTTTCCATGAAAAACACCCACCATTTTTTATTTCTTAATATGTAAAATATTAACTATTGAAAATTCATTTTAGTGAAACTTTCTGTATGGTTTGTGGCAGTCTCACTCTTAATCAAACTATGCATAGTATATATCGGATTTGACAGGGCCATAGTGGTAGAGTAGTCAATTATAATAGTGAATTAATTATAATTATTGTTTTTATCAGTAGCCCTTAACCCCTAGGTTTTGGGTTCGAAACTTACATGGTGCAGTCGCCAAATATTGCCTGCAGATTGGTGGTTTTCCTCTGGGAACCCCTGCTTTCCTCAAATATCCACATATGACACATCCTTAAATGACCCTGAATGTAACTGAGATGTGATGCAGCTACAAACCAAACTAATCTTTCCAAACCAGTGAGTTAAGGTTATCTACCATGAGCAAATTTATAGGAAATAGGAAAATTAAGTATTGACAGCTTAAAAAGTGAAAACATACACATATTTTCAAAATTAAAATTACCCACTAGGTATTTTAGTCACAAATCTAAAATTATACAAATTTTTTATTCCTTTTCAATTGAATTATTTTGGAATACAAGAAAAGTTCTGATAAAATGATGCATTTTAATTGTAAAATTTATAGATAAATCAACTTTGACAGAGAAACTCAGAAAGTTTGAGTAAACATTCTGAATCATTTGGTTTAGATTGAGAATAAAATAAAGTTTCGCCTGATTTTCACATGACAGATTTCTGCACACAGATTTATTGTTTTCAATGTTGTTAGGCAGATACAAGTCACTGTCCTACGGTAAAGGAATTTGCATTGTCACATAATACATAGGTATGTTAGTATTGTTGACATCCTAACTCTAATGTAATGGATAGGTATTGGATTGCAAGGATACTTCAAATGAATGAAGTATAGGTTTCAAGGTCAAGGTGAAAAGTTATTTGTAGAAAGCTTTGTCATTAAAGCATCTTCTTACCTTTTTTTATAGTGATAAGTTGGTTGACAAGGCCATTCATATATTGCTGTTCAGTAAAATTACAATGATGTTTATTTAACAATCCCTTAATAAGTCAACTTATGACTTTGCTTTAGAAGTAGAGTGTTCGTCCCCTAGGATTAGAGCAGGTTAAATATGGATAAATAATTCATACAATAGTTGAACAGATGAAAATACTTCTTGTGACAATTGTTTCATGTCTTGAATATGCTGGTATGATTAATGCTTGACAGTCCCATCATCAGATCCTTCTTCCACAGATGGTTTGACATTTTTCCACAACATCCTCTTGTGGTGCATTGGCTGGGTTGATGAGGCCCAAACAGAGACTGGTTGGTTTTGCTCCTTGTTGTCAAATTTTGCTGCATTGATCACCTCTGACTCTCCTGTTAAACTGTGTCCAGCTCTGGGTTTTATGACCACTTTACCTTGGAGCTGCACTTCTAATTAGAAACTCGTTCTCTGATAGATGTCTGCCCTCAGTTTTAAATCTCTTGCTTTAGCTATCATCCTGTTAGCTTCAACCCTGCTTTTCTTTCCTGCCTGCTCCAAGTTGTATGAGAATGATTTTTCCGGTAATTGCACAGTCAAAGTTTGCTACTATTTCTTCAAGAACCTGACCATGCCTCCATATTTTTACAGTATAGCAATGGTCAAGGTACTGACCATTTTGAAACACTAATTAATGTAGAAGTGATTTTCTAAAGGGATATAGTATGTGCATATGTATGTAGCTTTTAGCAGATATGAACCTATTGCTTGATAACTCTGGTAAATCTATTTTGAAAGATTCAAGCTTGAATGAAATTTGTCACCAGAACCTGGAGCTTTAGAGTTATGTAACAGAATTAGGTACTGTTGACATGCAAGGTATTTTTACAAGATGAAAGAGATTTGGTTTAGGTTTATACAAAAATAGCATTATGACATCTAGGTACAGTGTATATATTCTATAATTTCTCTTGACAACTTCTTGTACCATGACACATGATATATATTTTTTTCTGATGTATAAGTGACTTTTATAACTACAAATTTATTTAAAGATTTGAAAATTGGACTACAGGTCTCTTGTTGCAACATTGTGTAAAGTTCAACAGTCTGTTTTGTGAGTATACAATTACTGTGGTACAGTAATATATATACATACACTTAGTACATAGTTTATAAAAAGAATCTCTTTTTCAAAGGTTGCATGTTTGTTGAAGTTTTGCTATATCATTTTCATACATTGTTTACTTTAGAGCATGTATTATTTTCAAATGTTATTTTGAAATATTTTATTGTCAAATCTTTTGTTATGACTTTATAATATCTGAAGCAATGACCATAATGAAACGATAGTCAGTGGAAAACAGGTCACTGGATCATATTTTGAATATTACACTAGTAAATATATTATTTAAACATTGTGAAGCCAAATTCACCAGAATCAAATGAGGTAATGTCTTATCAAAGTTCAAGGCCAGTGGGTTTAAAAATAAATGCAGTATTTCTTTAAAAATGTAACCTTCTTGTTAAGCGCCTATTTAGAGTTACATACATTGTGAGGCCCTTGCTTACATGTCATTAGTTTAGCTACTAATCAATACTTTAGTTGCTCTGGATGGAATGCAATGGACCTCCTGTATGGTGTTCATTGAGGTAGCCATCAGCTACTACAATACCCTACCTCAAAATGGTTCCAGCTGTTGGGTGATAAAACTAAGAAAATAAACAAAAGTATAACAATATGATTGTACAGGGAAATAAAGATCTCATTAACTTTGTTTATGGCACCACTTATTTGGTCATGTGTAACAATCTTTGTCACGTGGAATCAGATACAAGTGTTTGACTTTGGGTGGGCAACATTTGATCGTTCAGATACTCGCAATAAACCAGTCTTAAAAGTAGTTTTATAGATTTACTACCATCAGACTACAATGAGCATCACCTACCAAATATTTGATGTAACTTTACATATTTATCTGTCAGTAATGCCATGCAAAGTATTAGCCTTACCACTCATTACTGCAGTTCAGCAAAAATTACAAATGAAGGCTGTTTCATTGTCTGGTGATAAGCCGGCCTTCTGGTTATGAGAGAGGTATTAGTAATGTGTTACTGGTATATTGGGCTAATTTCAGGAGAAAGTCTGAATGAATGAGGTTGAACAAACGTACAATAATAATAATAAATTTTCATGCAGGAGATTTTGCATACTCTAAGTTAAAGCATCTATAAAATGAGTGCTTAGACCATCCAGTAAAGAAATAACACTTGTAAATGGCTTATTGTGGGTTAATCATTCAAATGAAAACATTTGATCTTTGAATATAAAAATAGTCTGCAAAATCACACGTTGAAAATGGCTGAATAAGTGGTCCAAAATCAAGTGTCACCTTCCTTAATAGGGAGGGTTTGCAAATTTTGTGGTGATTGTAGACAAGATATCTTATGAACCTCTCAACAGGTTTTTTTAGCTCACCTGGCCAAAAGAGTCAAATGTGTTAAAATGTTTAAACAATTTCTTCTGAAATATCAAAAAGCCTAGAATCATTATATTTGACCAGTATTTCCTTTTATGAAGTCCAAGAGAGTAAAAGAAATGACCTTGACCCATAGTCAAGGTCACAGGGGTCAAATGTGTAAAACGTGGAACATATGCACAGATATAGTAATGTTGGTCATAAAGATCCAGGTGAGCGATACAGACCCTCTGGGCCTCTTGCTTTGTATTCACCATATGTTTACAGTAATTAGTAAATGTAAAGCATTATTTGTCACAATGGACCACTTTGAAAGGACAATATTATACAACAATGTAGAGAATATCTGTGCGAGTCTGGAATGTCATTTCTCTTGAAAAACAACTTATCCAGACGTTAGTTGTAAGTACTTGTATTTTTCAGGTAATTCATTTACATAAAATACATGTATTTCAAAAACAATTTAGTGATCAAGCATTATGTATTGACTATACGATATTGTGAAACATTACATTTGAACTATTTTACATCACACCTTTGACACTGTCTAGATGAAATTTGTGTGTGTTTATTATGTATTGGATATGCTATTACTGTACATGTAATTTTTCTGGTGTATAATCATGTTACTGTGTGTAAATTGAGTCTGGTCATTGTTTTTATATCAGAAAAGCTACTATATATGAACACAGTTGAATTGAGATTACATGCAGGGACAACTTTATGAGAAAACGAAGTTCAGGTTTATAGTACAAATCTTATGACAAACATCCGGTTTTCATTGGGTGGCAAGAATCACTTAGACATGCATTGTACTACTTTTCCTGCAGAATTAGGTCAAGTTAGGACTGGTATAATGAAATGTTATAACATTAGTGAGGATGGGGACAGATCTACAGTGATATTAGGTCTAGCTATATTATAGTCAGTACAAAACAGGTTTTAAATCAGTGACCATACTGAAGTAGTGTAATACGTATTTGGTAGGTAGAGGCCTCTGGGTTTAGCAATGACTTTGATCTGAAGATTATTGAGCTATAATTGACTTTTGAATGATTTGATAAGGTTTACATAGCTGTAACAGTTTTATATCTAATACAACAATGGCAAAAAGAAATTAGCAGAGAAAAAGCATGGAGTCAATAATATTGTTATATACCTGTAACAAAAAATGTGGCATTGTGTGATTATATTTCAGCAAAAGGTTTACAAAGAAAAATGAAAAATGGTTCTATTTTGTATCTTAATTATATCACTGTACAAATTTTAACAAATATTTGTTTATTTTTGTAGGAATTATGGCTGACTCAGAAACTCTGGTGCAAAGTGAAGTGTCACCTGACCAGGTGGAAATCCAGACGTAAGTAGTACATTTAGCCCTCCAACCTCTGTTACCCCTCCCCAGACAACACATACCATTGATGATATATACAGACTCATGCAACTTAAATCAATCACTTTATGATATTACTGAGTATTTAGGCTTATACTAATATTTTAAGTTCAACACAAGTAACAACTGTCTAGATTTGTAGAAACATACCTGTCTGCAAAAGGTATTCTTTAGTAAGTTAAACTGCATATCAGGCTCATCGCCTTCAAAAGTCAATGACCAGAAGTTTTAAAAACCACCCACTTACGAAAATCCCCTCGGTAAGATTGGTAAGACACCTTTGGATGGGTGGGGGACATGAATTAAAGTTTTCACAATCATTACGATTGATCATTAAAGTCTCATGCTTTGACAGACTAGATGATTCATCATGATTCATCATGGTCATGTTTCTATCTTCACCGAGGAAATGAATACTGCACCACTTTCAAGATGTATATGTATATAATAAGTCAACCCATTTATGTAGCTGTTCAATTAAAATATAAATCCATGCTCTTTCATTGTCCTATGATAGACCCATCCCCTGATTTTTAGCTTACCTGGCCCGAGGAGCCAATGATAGTCAACTTTTCCTATAAATCGCTACTAGTCATGAACAACTGAGCAAATTTTGACCAAATTTGGTCTGAAACGTCCTTTGGGGAAGGGGGATCCATTTTTGTATAATTGGTGTGTCTGCCAGGTGGGCCTGAGGGGTGGGGTCCTATATGGGAAATTTTGCAAATTCTTCAACTTTTCTTCTTCTGAAAGAGTCCATGGATATTGCCCAGATTTGATCTAAAGCATAATGTAGGGTTAAGAGGAATCAATTTTGTATGGGGTCTGAGGGGCAGGGCCCAATATTCTTTAAAATCCTATTCCTCCTGTAGGAATGATTGGATTTTGCCCAAATTTAGTCTGAAGCATTGTTGGATAAAGGGGAGGACCATATTTGAAATCCTTTATTAAATGGCTGAATAACTAAGTTAGCAAGATTGGCGATGCAGGCCCCTAGGGCCTCTTGTTCAGAATAGGTTACACGTTCATTCCTTTGACTTATTTGCATGATAAATGTATAGGTATTGCTATGTTAGTTTAAACTATTCATTTCAGAAGGCATTGTTTTCTCTGATGTTTGGAACTTTTCCAAATCCTTCTTTTCCAATTTTTTTTTGAATGAGCACAGAACATTCTTTTACAAGAAAATGCTTTTAGAGATGACCATGATAAATTACATGTTTAACCAGGAACACCTGTTAATCCCTAATGATGGTTTAAAAAGGCGCAGGTGTGTGTTTAGGTCAACTGGAGACTTATGATCTTTAGCTTTTAGTGTGGTGAAATTATCGCCCCATGTACAGCCAGGGTCAATTTAAGGTGGCGTCACCTTGTCAAAGCTCTTTACTACCTTACTGAACATCATACAGAAGATCCATTACATACCACCCAGTGCAATAATGGTAAACCATTTCGCCCAAAGCAAAGACAGTCCATTTCTCAACTTTTTGAGAGACATAAACTACCATGAGTATGGAGCACCAAACCGCACAACTCAGATCTTTACCTGGTGCTAAATAGGCCAATGGTCTGCTGACTTAGGTATGCGCGGCTCCTCATTGATTTTTATACTATCTGCCAGATGAGCACATACATTTAGGAACTTTACAACATTTCTTTTTCTTTGCCTAACCTGTTACCCTGTAGTTAGCATACATACATGTAATTTAACTCTAAAATTCGAAACTTAGATGTAAGAAAGTGCACTTTAAGATCACAAGATTAGATTCAGCAGAATCGATTACTACATGAATGCTAAAAATGCTTATGTTGGAAATTGTTGATGCATAAGAATATTAGTATATGTATTTGTCATATTATGTCTGTTTGGGAGTGGGATGATTTCAAGTTTGTCCCGAATGTTCCTGTCCTTCCTTTTACAGTCTGTCATTTACATGTATTTTCATTCGAGATTGATACACATACTTAAATGGCAGATTTTGTATACTTACTTAATTTAAACTATCCTGTATTTAATTAGTGTATTACATAGAACAGCTAAAATTATCAAAACTAAACTACTTTAGGGTGTTATTGTATATCAATATTAAAGACACAAATGTTGTCTTTCATCAAGCAGTTTCTCTCTCCTTTGTAAATTTAAGTTAAAGGGTGTGGTAAGTTCTATAAAACCAGGTCTGTTTATCATACTGAAGCTATCAAATATTCAGTATAGTATATACTGTAGCACAGTGTTTGGAAGGAAATCGACACTTTCAAATATTTTCTGCTTGGCTGGCACAGGTATGATGTCTACCTGTATCTTTTAAGATTTACAGTTGAGTGACCAAGTTTCATCATGTGATCAAAAAATTATTGAAAAATGAAAGTTGTTTTAGAGATCGTATCATTTAAAAGTGTTATTTAGTATTTGAAAAATCAGCCAAAATTGTAGACATTATATACTTTGTATATGTGTATATGTGCTATGTTCAGACACCTGTAATCTACTACAACAATACTCAGCCATACACAACATGAGAATATATTAATTTGCTTTTGTCATGGTCTAGTGACCACAGAATTCACCTAAAATATCTTAACGCATTTTTAGTTCACCAGGTCAGAGAGACTGGTGTGCTTTTGCCATACTACTGTGTCCATCATCTTTCCCTACATATCGCTAATAGTCATAAATGACAGTGGATTTTGACGTTGGTCTAAAGCATTCTTGGATAAATTCTTTGCATAAACTGTGGGTCTTGGCCTCCTGGGATGGGAGGGACTGAGCTCAATAAGGGAAATGGACAAATTCTCTAAAATCCTACTCCTCATGTATGAATGAATAGATTTTGCCCAAATTTAATCCTTTGGTGAGAGACTCAATTTTGTTTAAATGGTGGGGCTTAGATTTGGGCAGGATTAGGGATACAATACAAGAAATTCATTAAAGTTGTTTCTTATTCATTAGAAATGATTGAGTTTTGTCCTAATATTGTCTGAAGCAACCATGAATGAAAGGAACCTCATTTTGTATAAATGATGCATCTCATTCCCCTGGGGCAGATTTCTGATAAGGGATATAAATCATTTTAATACTTTTCATTTAGTTTAGATGTACTAATTTCAAAGAACGAAACCTGATGAGTGTTACAGGCCCTAAGGGCCTCTTGTTTAGGAATGAATGGATTATTACCAAGAGCTTTTTGTACATCCTGATGGGCATTGAGCAACTACTTTATTGATAGGTGTATTCTTGTAAAAGTAAATAAATATATACATATTTCCTGTATTGTGTTTTAGCCTAGAATGTTATGGTTTGGAGCTTTTTTTGTCAGCTGAACTGAATTATCACTGCCAAAAGATTTTTGGTTACATATTCAAAGCCAACACTACAGAAGTGGTTGATCAGACTTTGTTGTAATTTTGTTGAATGTTAATGATCAAATATCTGAGCAAGCTTGTCTCTGCCCCCTAGGGCAGGAGAGGAGAGGTCAAAAGGGTAAATAGAGCTATTTCTTTAAAATCTGACTCCTGTAGGAATGATGGGATTTTCATTGCCCAAATGTTTTTTTGAAGTAATCTAGGGTGAAGGGGAATCAATGATGTACAAATGGTGGGTTTTGACCACCTTGGATGACAGGAGCCCAATAAGGAACATACAGCAAATTCTTTAACAGCTTACTGCTTCTGTAGGAAGGATTGAATTTTGCCCAAATTTGGTCTGATGCATCCTTGAGTAAATTGAAATCAGTATAACAGGTTGGTCTAGGCCCCTTGGGATGGGAGGGGCAGGAGCAATTCGAGGGTAATGTAGAAAATTATTTATAATTCTTCTGTTGGAATGGCAGGATTCTGTCCCAATTTGGTATGAAGCATGAATTGATTGGCTGACCCCTATGAACGGAGAAGGGTGGGGCCCAATATGGAAATAAATATAGTGTGTGCTATGTTCTGGTAAATTTAGAATTTGTTTTCATATAGTTTGGATGAAGGAATTTCTGCCAAACAAAGCCAGATGAGCAATACAGGCCCTATAGGTCTTTTCAAATTCATTTAGCTCCATAGCTGTGAAGGTCAAATATGTTTTACAACTCAGTTATTTAGGATACAATTTGGCCTAGATTGTTTACAGTAGAGAATAGCTACTTTTGTTGTACATATCAAGGTATCTATGTTTACAGAGAAACCCAAGCAAAAATTGGAAATGGCAAAGACAGTTCTACCAATAACAACACAGACCAGAAACAAGATGTCGTGACCAATTCTACAAACACCACAGCTCAGGACCAGGAGAACAAGTCAGCAAGACGTAAGTGTGTAATGCAGAGTTTCAAAAAGAAAGATCATGTTTATCTCCTAAGTGATATCAATAAATGAATTAGAAATGATAAGAAAATGACCAAACACCTCCTGAAATACTTCATGTATGTAATTTGTTGAATCTTCTATATCGCTAAACCTACAAAAAACTGCAGTAGATTTTGTAAAGTCTTGGTGTAAATTACTTTCTTATTAGTTATTGATATTCATGTCCATTAACATAATAATAATGATGTTTGTGTGTTAACATAGTGAAAAATTCTTTTAATATTCTTAAAATCAGTAGCAGTTGTCTGCTGAAAATGATAAGATGATAACAATATGTTATAAGAGGTTTTTGTCCAGCCTGATACATATACATACTGTTAAATAATTAATTTTCATGGAAGTTTTATTTTTGTGAAGTTTGTGTTAATCTAATCCACGATTTCATCTGTCCATGAAATCATGAAGAATTAAAAAAAAATTAAATTATTAGTAGATGTTGATTTCAGGAGTACTGTTTTTAAGTTAAAATCAAGTGTTAACAAACTGATGTTCTTTTGAAAACCATGATCTTTGAGTTTCCAGGAGATATAATTTCTTGGTACATGATCACTTAAATATATTTATCAATGCTCTAAACTTTTGATGACTTCATTGTTTTTGTACACAGATATTGATGATTGTCTGACAGCCAAAACCATGTGGACATCTGATCCCTCCACCCCTGTAATATTGAGGATGGGAGACACTCCTCCTTACTCAAACACACCAATAACAACCATCTCTGTGTTTGAGAACACTGTAAAAAAGCTGCCAAATGGCATTGCTATTAGTATGTTAAAGTAATAATGTTTCTTTCCTTTATTGTTCGGTCTCTAAAATGCTTCACTTTTTTTATTGCAAAATGTTCTCGCGTGTATTGGTTTATCCAATGATTATTATTGTTCATCATTTATGTGAACATTAAGATAATTTCTCTTTGTCTTGCCTTTCCATTTACATACCTTTAAATGTGAATTAAACATTTATTACAATTTTCATCAGGGGGAGAAAAAAAAATGGAAAGCACAGATTCATTTAGCTGTTTTTTGAAATCCTTGCTTTTTCATACTCTGAAATGGAAGAAAATTATTTTGATTAAATAATGAAAGTTGAAATTTTGTCCAAAATTTAAAGACTCTGGTCTTACAAAGGATAAAAATTATATAACAAAATGAATATTCTATATATAAACTTAAACTGACAGGTGATTTGTTGTCTTACCAGCGGTCAAACGGAATGGTGAGTGGGTGAAATGGACCTATCAGCAGTATTATGATGAAGTCAAAACTGCTGCAAAGGCTTTCATTAAGGTAAGTATTGAGGATGGCAGTTGGTTTTGTGTTTTGACCTATTTCATGCTGTTTTCCCTTTTGCTTTGCTGCTGGCAATGGTGGTTGTGTAATACTGCTGCTGTAGCACAAGAGTAGAAATCTTTATCGTATTTCTGCTTTCGTTTAAAGATTTGAGGAAACACCGTTATTTTTTTCAACTTTAGATAACTGTTAAGTTTTATTTAATTCAAGATATATAGTGTACCCATAAAATGATAGACCGACATTACATTAAGCATGTTGTAGCAATAGAAGTGATAGAAAGGTCTGGAAATTTAGAAAATAATTCCATAAAGGTAAATTTTTAAAAGATTAAAAAAAAAATGAAGACAATGCATATTTGTTTTGTTGAAAGTGAAAAGTAGGATGAGATCAAACTTTTACATAAATATTCAGAATTTATGTTTTCAATCCTCAGCTTGGACTAGAACCATACCATGCAGTCAGTATTCTTGGATTTAACTCACCGGAATGGGCCATCGCAGATTTAGGGAGTATATTTGCAGGGTAATATTTTACACCTTTAAATTTTCGGGCAAGTATACTTGCTGTATATGGGGGAAAATCATCCTTTTCTTTTGTTTAGTGTTTTTTGTTTTACCCTGCATAAAACTCTTTATTTTCACTCAGGTTATAAATTTAGAAATGATTGAACAAATGTATAACATCACCATGGAAACAACTGGAACTTGTAGCCTATCCATGCATTTTCAAGTCATATTACATGCTTGTCATAAATAATCGATCTTGATTGAAGATTGTATTAATTGCTTCTCATTTCAGTGGTCTTGCTACTGGAGTCTACACAACCAACACACCGGAAGCATGTCAGTATATATTGTTTGACTCTGGGACTAACATTGCTGTAGTGGAAAATGATACACAACTCCAGAAAATCCTTTGTATCTGGGATCAGCTCCCACACCTCAAGGCCATTGTACAATATAATGGAGAACTGAAAGAAGCAAAGGAAAATGTCTACACTGTAGGTATTCAGAAAAAAGAAACTGCTTGTGTATAACACTTCTTAAAATGCATTAACTGGATCAATTAAAAAAATCATATATTTTCAAGCTACCAGGTAACTATGTTTGATATTTTACTTTGGAAAGTAGTCCGATTCTTTGTTGTATGGTGCTATGCTTTAAATGTGTACCAAATCTGTTCAGGATGTTATCTTGTTTACAAGTCAATCAGGGATCCATGCATGCATACACATAATGATATTTATATTATTGGTACACAACCCCTGTGTGAGTTGGATTTTACTGATACTAGGTTAAGTAGGATCAGTAATAACGTAAGATGGAGACATATTTTCAGACATATTTTTTAATACTTACTGCTTCACATGTGATCTTTTATTCTTTTAGTGGAAGGAATTCATGGCTATGGCAGAAGGTGTGCCAGACTCAGCTCTCCAGGAAAGACTTCAAATGCAGGCTCCCAACAAAGCTTGTACATTAGTGTATACGGTAAGGTTACAGGGTTGTCAGGAGGAAGCTTTGAATAATTCCTGTTTCTCTTCTGCTTGACACATTATTTATGTAATTAGACATAGTTTATCCAATTTTTAATCATTGTAACATGTACAGTAGCAGACATATTGATGGGTAATAGAGCAGTAATTGTAGGTCGCTGTGACCTTTGGTTTTTCATTCACTGACCTTTGGAAGACTGCCTTGTTGTCCTTAGTGGAGGGGTCATATATAAAAGCAAATTAATTTCTGTTATTCTGGGCCTCTGTCAAAATAAAATGAAAAGCTTGTGATGACTGAGTTTCATTGATCTCATTTGTAATGGAAACTCATATAAGATTCTGTTTCTCAGATCACTATCTGTGAGAAACACTTCATTACAATGAAATGAAATCTTAATTGGTGATATTTTCACGCTGTCTCAATATTTGATGATGTCACAATGCATTTTAATGCCATCAAGCTATGAATTTAAAGAATAGAGACCTCTTAGTGTTAAAACAATGTGTGGTCATAAAAATTATTGATACTTATTAAAAGGATATCTTGGTAGTGGTAAACATTACCTCACAGAGTGCTGGATCACACAGGTTCAATATTTACACATATTAGTTTAATTCATATAAACTTTAGGAATGGTGCTGAGGGATGGACTTTGATGATATACTGTAGAGATTTTGACAATCAAATTTTAGCATGTTATCACTTTTTTTGCAAATAAGCACAAGAATGATTTCTGTACATCCACAATGGTATAAATGACTGAACAAAACAGCAATACATGCAATCATATTTCAGCATAAGTTTTTCAGTGTGATAAATGCTAAAATAGGCTTACCTTTGAAAAAAGTATGTTTGCCCTATCCAATTTTCTCAATAGTAGCCATGAGATTTTAGTAACTATCCATACACTGACTGCTTGTTTCTGCTTTCAGTCAGGAACAACAGGAAACCCTAAGGGTGTTATGCTGAGTCATGACAGTGTAAGTATTTTTTTAACGCTGGGGAATTTATTCCAAGACTTTATTAGGATTCACCTACTTACATTCATTTTATTTTTTATAAGGATTTTAACTTTTATTTATCTTTTTACACATACTTTATTTAATCTATTTACACATATTTAATCTATTTACACATACTTTATTTAATCTATTTACACATATTTAATCTATTTACACATACTTTATTTGTCTATTTACACATACTTTATTTAATCTATTTACACATACTTTATTTATCTATTTACACATACTTTATTTATCTATTTACACATACTTTATTTAATCTATTTACACATATTTAATCTATTTACACATACTTTATTTATCTATCTATTTATTTAATCACACACATATTTAATCTATTTACAAATACTTTATTTAATCTATTTACACATACTTTATTTATTTATTTACACATACTTTATTTAATCTATTTACACATATTTACACTATTGCGACGGCCTTTCAGACAAAATTTACCGATCCTTGCCTTCTCGTTGGCTGAAATATCGAAAAAGAGTTAGAGCCCTCTAGCGGCAAATTTCTGCGTAAATATTGTCGCGATCTTTCAAATCGCTATTATAAAAGCATCCACAATCAGTTTATTTTTTCTAATAATAATACGATTACTATATATTTAAAAAAATAAGCACAGTGTGGTTGAACTATCGATAAATTTTGACCTAGCTCGCAATGTACCATTGAATTTGAGGTCGATTTTTTAACATGTAATGTTCTTTTACAAAAATGAGTGAACCTTTTCAATGTCGTTTGCCTTGAACGCTCCCCATACAGAACACTGTGCATGCGAGTTGGTGCCATGGTAAGAAGCTAGTCTGGGGGCTTGGTTTGAATCATCAACTAACAGCACTTATAAACAAACAAAACTTACAAACAGAAAATAAATTTGCTTTTATCCTTGTCATTGTGGCAAGATCGTCTTAATATATAATATCGCTTTACCTCATTTGACGTCACAAAATTGGACTGTTCGTCCCACGCGCACACCCGCAGATATGACACTTTTTCAGGTTTTTCACACCCACCGCCATGACACTTTTTCAAGTTTTTGAAGATCAAAAGTTTGCGCAAGGTACATTTGGTGCTCATGATTTATGAATAATATATGATTAATACTGTACTGATCATGATGTTGACTTTGTTATAACTTGTATTTTTTGTTCCTTGAAATGAAAATATTCCTTCAAACAAAGCGCTTATAAAAAACCCCAAAATATTCATGTTTATACTTTTCAATTAAATAGAACGAAATATTCCATAACATATTTATTCATTTTGCGTGTCATGGTGACATTATCTAATGCATTGGAGATCAGAAATAGTAGTGGCTATAGTGAAAATATTGTAAATTTTGTATATATATGGAAGTCTGGTTTAATCTCAAAGAACTACCGGTATGTCTTTATAGACATAATTACTGGAAGAAAAGTCTAATCATGATACTTCAAGGAAGATAGGCATGTTAATACATTTAATGTATTTATTTACACTTTTATCTATCTGAAATGCTGTGGACACCTTATCTACTTTCTTCAACTACAAATATAATTATAATAAGTAAGGAATATTGCTTTGCAATACATTTGAAATAAAGAAGTAGGTATAAAGTCCTTTCGATTTGTATAAATCCCCATATTGATAAGATAGTAATTGCAACATCTTGGGTATTTCAAAGGTTTTATTTAGTCAACTTTATCATAGAGCTATTCATCATTTGGCTTGTTGGTGATAAATATATGGTTGTGTGTATGTTGTTGTTTCTTTTTTTTTACCTATTTTGATTTGTTCACATTATTATTGTCGTTAAATTTGAAATAAGAATTACAAAAGATATAAAATCGCGTAAAAATTCAGAAAAACAGCCTCTGGTTCTCTTATTTTAGTAATTTTTGCATTCCAAAGTGTAGGAGTTTGGGGAAAGTAACATATCTTTGCTGTTACTTGTGAACATTTTTCAATACGTTTAGCCTCTCAGTACTTTCAGTACTTTGATTTAAATGTATTTGCACAAACTTTATTTAATCTATTTACACATACTTTATTTAATCTATTTACACATACTTTATTTAATCTATTTACACATACTTTATTTAATCTATATACACATACTTTATTTAATCTATTTACACAAGCTTTATTTAATCTATTTACACATATTTAATCTATTTACACATACTTTATTTAATCTATTTACACATATTTAATCTATTTACACAAGCTTTATTTAATCTATTTACACATACTTTATTTAATCTATTTACACAAGCTTTATTTAATCTATTTACACATATTTAATCTATTTACACATATTTAATCTATTTACACATATTTAATCTATTTACACATATTTAATCTATTTACACATATTTAATCTATATACACATACTTTATTTATCTATTTACACATACTTTGTTTAATCTATTTACACAAGCTTTATTTAATCTATTTACACAAGCTTTATTTAATCTATTTACACATACTTTATTTAATCTATTTACACAAGCTTTATTTAATCTATTTACACATATTTAATGTGTTTTAACTTCAGTTTGTACTTGCTGAAGACAAAATGTGAAGATGCAATCTCGCTGAAACGTGAAATAAATATACCAGGTATAGAAGTAATCTGGCACCATATTGGAAACTAAATTGATGCGCCAAGCCATTTTTTCACTGTATATACTATGCTTTATTCACAGTCAGACTTTTACTAGGCTTAAGAAGGGAGAGATGTAAATATATCATTCATGTGTGATGGAGGTCAGGTAATGATAAAGTTATGTAACTTCTGACTACAATGATAGCAAAAACCATCGGCACTGAATGATGTCCCTTCACAATGGAATTGATTTACATGTCAATCACATGCCCTGCAAGCAATGTTGCCTGAGTGGCTTGTTTACAATAAAGTTACTTATTTCAATTTTATTTCAAGAAAATTTACATTTTGTTTACTTTTTTATCGTTAAAATTTTTTGTAAGTAAGACTATTTACCTTTTATTTGTTTTACTTTAGTTTATGAAATCATAAATCCAATGGAGCGTAAGATAAATTGTATAAGGAGCAAAGCATTAACAAACATTTCACTGACTGCTCCAATGGATTTACAATCTTGTAAACTTAACAGATCAACGTTAATACTTTTTCTAGTTTCTTGTAACAATAACAGCGTTCATGGAGAGTCAGATACAAGGATTTACCGTATGTAATCTTTGTTCCATACAAAACAGCGGTTTATAAAACCTGTTAAGTGATAGCTTATCCCTACCCATTTTCTCTGTGTCATCAATAGAAAATAGTTACTGCATTTTACAAATTTCATTCACATAAAATATCCATATTTTACTTAAAACAATATACCTATAATTGCATTTAGTTGTTAATGGAATAAATCCTATTGTACTTATATGAACTTGAGGTATTGGCAAAAAATACATACGTAGAAAATATTAATGACTTTAAATGTTGGAAAGTGGTGTGCCAAAAGGCGAGAAAGAAAGAGCTGGTGAAATGCATCACGTTCAACACCTAAGTTGTTGAGTTGCTTACACCTGGCGTATGAATCCTGAAAGCTAGGAGTGATGCAATGTAATTGTATCTGAAGGAGTACTAGTAAATATGTCTAAATGAAGCGAGAAAGCCAGTTAGATATGTCTAAATGAAACAGGAAAGCCAGTTAGATATTTCTAAATGAAGCGAGAAAGCCAGTTAGATATTTCTAAATGAATCGAGAAAGCCAGTTACATATTTCTAAATGAAACAGGAAAGCCAGTTAGATATTTCTAAATGAAACAGGAAAGCTAGTTAGATATTTCTAAATGAAGAAAGAAAGCCAGTTAGATATTTCTAAATGAATCGAGAAAGCCAGTTACATATTTCTAAATGAAACAGGAAAGCCAGTTAGATATTTCTAAATGAAACAGGAAAGCTAGTTAGATATTTCTAAATGAAGAAAGAAAGCCAGTTAGATATTTCTAAATGAAGCGAGAAAGCCAGTTAGATATTTCTAAATGCCCAGTATATTCTAAATGAAAAACAGGAAAGCCAGTTAGATATGTCTAAATGAAGAAAGAAAGCCAGTTAGATATTTCTAAATGAAACAGGAAAGCCAGTTAGATATTTCTAAATGAATCGAGAAAGCCAGTTACATATTTCTAAATGAAACAGGAAAGCCAGTTAGATATTTCTAAATGAAACAGGAAAGCTAGTTAGATATTTCTAAATGAAGAAAGAAAGCCAGTTAGATATTTCTAAATGAAGCGAGAAAGCCAGTTAGATATTTCTAAATGAAACAGGAAAGCCAGTTAGATATGTCTAAATGAAGAAAGAAAGCCAGTTAGATATTTCTAAATGAAACAGGAAAGCCAGTTAGATATGTCTAAATGAAGAAAGAAAGCCAGTTAGATATTTCTAAATGAAACAGGAAAGCCAGTTAGATATGTCTAAATGAAGAAAGAAAGCCAGTTAGATATTTCTAAATGAAACAGGAAAGCCAGTTAGATATTTCTAAATGAAGCGAGAAAGCCAGTTAGATATTTCTAAATGAAGCGAGAAAGCCAGTTAGATATTTCTAAATGAAGCGAGAAAGCCAGTTAGATATTTCTAAATGAAGCGAGAAAGCCAGTTAGATATTTTTAAATGAAGCGAGAAAGCCAGTTAGATATTTCTAAATGAAGAGAGAAAGCCAGTTAGATATTTCTAAATGAAGCGAGAAAGCCAGTTAGATATTTCTAAATGAAGTGAGAAAGCCAGTTAGATATTTCTAAATGAAGCGAGAAAGCCAGTTTCAAAATTGAGAGTATATGATTACATCATTTTTTGTTTTACAATAGATCACATGGATATGCAAGCAGCATGGAGACAATGTTAATTACAAATTTGGAGTGGAGGTTGCTGTGAGTTATCTTCCCTTGAGTCACATTGCAGCCCAACTGATGGACATACACATTCCAGTGTTATTTGGAGGCACCATATACTTTGCACAACCAGATGCGCTTAAGGTATGAAAAGTCTTACCTGTTCTGGAGATAAAAGTCTAACCAGTTCTGATGATACCTTGTTGAAATATTTGTTTGTCTTCCTTATACTATTCTTTAGTTTTTTGTTTAGCTCAAAGATCAAAATCTATTTCTCATCATTTTCATTGGAATTTTGTTTCAAGGTAATTTTTATCAATTTCAGGGTACACTCAAGGATACTTTGAAAGAAGCACGTCCAACTGCCTTTTTTGGTGTCCCTCGTGTTTGGGAAAAGTTCATGGAGAAAATGATTGAAAAAGGGAAATCAGTCACCGGAGTGAAGAAAATGATTGGTACTAAGGCCAAAGAAATCGGTCTTCGTGGTGTCTACGCCAAAATGAACAAGTAAGAAAATTATTCTTGATGGTTGATATTTTTTAACTATTGAATTTAGTTAAAAATTACATCTTTAATATTTATAAATTCTCTGAGCCAGTTAAAAAAAACAAAAATACATTATTTTGAGTCTCAATCTAGTTACATGGTGTGATGAGAAAGCATATTTAGTAATTCATTCAGCTTTTTATTTCTACAACTTCAATCATAAGCTGTGATTAGCTGTTGATTTTCTTGCACGAGTTGCCCGATTATGGCTACCAGTATGCATATTACTAAGAACAGGAGGTTTTTATAAATTGGGACACAATCACAACAACGCAGACTCAGGTCTGTTTCTCAGCTTTCCAGGAAACATAAACTGCCCTAGATAGGAGAGTGTCAAACCACACACCTTGTATGCTTGAGGTTGAGTAGGTCTTTGCTGTGTTCTGTTACATTATTTGAGTGAAAGGATAAAGGTGAAGAAGCTTGGCTTGAAAGTCACTTGATATTGTGAATATTTTATGATGACCAGTGAGATTTCTCATTGATGAGATTCAACTGCCTTCTGTACTTATTAACAAATTTGTTTTTAGACAGTGGATGCCATTTGGATGGACTTTGGCAAATATCATGGTTTTCAACAAAGTAAAGGCTGAACTTGGACTGGACAGGTGCTCTATGACATACACAGGTGCTGCTCCTATTTCCCGTGAAACCATCGAGTACTTCTACAGTCTCAACATTCCTTTGCTGTCTGTGTTCGGACTTAGTGAGTCAACAGGTACGTATGCAAATTCATTAGATATATTCCATATATCGTGCAGTAATCGAGTATGGGTGCTTATTACAAGACTGTTATGATATTACATGGACTTACTGCAAGACAAATCAAAATGGACACTTACTCTTATGCATTTCATATAAATTGTATCAAGTAATTTTTTGGAATACTTGAGACTAGAGATGGGTGTGTTTAGGCCAAGTATCCCAAGATTGAAGATTGTTTTTTAAGAACTACATTAAGTCAGTCATTATTTTGAGTCAGAGGGGGTAAGGTGAGACAAATACTGTATATAATTTCATAGAATTCTACTAAAAGAACTGTTAAAATATTTTACTTAATCAAACATGGTTTCATTGATCATATAGATAAATATTCACTTCAGATAATTTCTTTTTCGCAAGATCATATTATTTAATCAAATTTGTCAAGTTTTCCAATTTTTCATGATCAGTTTATACTTCAGAAATTGTTGAATTTTCCAAATTTGATTGTTCCAGGTCCACATACAGTAGATACTACAACAGATTTCAGAATAGGAAGTGTTGGTAAGGAAACGCCCGGCTGTCAAACAAAAATAGCAAATCCAGAAGAAGATGGAAATGGAGAGGTAGGATACTTGTGTATTTTTTTTCATTATTAATTACAGAAGGTAGAGGTAGATGGACATCTCAGCTTGTCAGTCAGTCTGATAGCATGCCTTGGTCCCTGTTGGTTTCCTGCTCCATTTTGAGACTTATCTGTAAATAAATATGGCTGACGGTGGTTTTTGGACATTGTTTGATTCATCTGTTTGTACAATTGTTTACAGATATGCATGTGGGGTAGACATGTTTTCATGGGCTACATAAGAAATGAAGAAAAAACAGCTGAAGCATTCGATGAAGCAGGTTGGCTTCAATCAGGAGACATTGGTAGAAAGGACGAGGATGGATTCTTATTTGTAACTGGCCGAATTAAAGGTTGGTGAGAGAATGCTATAACTGTTGTCCAATCTGGTGTAGCAATCACCTTGTCTGTGTATGAGAGTGTGTATGTTTATGTATCTGAAATGTGTACAGGTTATTTTCATGAATGCACTCTACACCATCATAATGCCAAGGTGTACACCTCATCAGATGTTGGTGGTCATTTGTCAATATTAAAGGTCAAAGGTCATACCTTACCATTTTAATCCTCTGATAGATGTAGGTGAACCACTGCTCGCATCAAGTTTATTTTCTGAGAATTTTATCCTTTATTAGCAGCTCAGTATCAAGTATATATTTTCCATTATTGCATGATTGCCTTGTAATGCAGTGAATATAACCATAAAATATATATTTTTTTGTTGTTGGAATTATCTGAATATTTTACATTAAAAAATACCTACATGATTAATTTTTTTAACAATCTGTTTATGAAACAGTTCTTCAAGTCTTTGGGCACTCATTCAGTGGTTATGATGTTCTAGCCCAGGAAAGTTGATTTGACCTTGCTTTTTTTAAACGTGGTCATAGATGTGTGAGGGTCTATGGGCCCCTCCCCCCTGTTTAGTCCACTTGGCATATCTAAATAGCTTCTGTGACCTGTCACCTCAAAAGATTGTTTTCTCTTTCTTCTACTTTGGAATCAATCCTGTCAACTTTATGCCTATTAGATGATGATGTAGTATATGTTGTATTTTGATAGAGATAATCATCACAGCTGGAGGAGAGAATGTGGCTCCCATACCTATAGAAAACAATGTGAAAGAAGCACTCCCATTTGTATCTAACTGCATGTTGATTGGAGACCAGAAGAAGTTCCTCAGCATGTTTTTAACCTTTAAGGTGTGTATCTTTGTTCTTGGATAAAAAAAATAATCCTCATGGTTTGTAGTTTACAAACTCTATACTTGTATTCGTTGTTTTTGCGAATGTTTCTTTCTGTAATTTTATTACATTGTTTAGCTTCGACGTATAAGATAAAAAGTAGTCTATCGATGAAGATATTGAATACCTACATCTATACTCATTCGGCACTTGTTTTAACACTTTGATTAGTCCATGGGAGGAATAGCTTCAGATATCTGGTTTTGAATTATTATAAAATTTGTGATATATAAATGCACCTTTTGGGGGCTTTAAGTTTTGAAAACATACAATATTATCTCCCTGATGAAAATTTTAATAGTTAGCAAGTGTGTGGACAAGAGTATAGTCATATCTAAATTTACTGAGATAAACCTATGCATCTGTAAAATTTTGTATCATCAAGGTTGAAATGAATGCTGAAACTGGAGCCCCAACAGATGTGTTTACTGAAGAAGCCAAGGAGTGGTGTAAATCTGTTGGCAGTGAGGCAACAAAAATGGCTGACGTTCTGGACAACAAGGATGAAAATGTCATGAAGGCTATTCAGGCTGGTATAGACCAGGCCAACACGAAAACTACCTCAAGGGCCACAAAGATACAGAAATGGTCAATCCTTCCAACCGATTTCTCCATCCCTGGGGGAGAACTGGGTAAGATTACAATTTCTCCCATCATTCACAGGCTTGTCACCCATTTTACTTGTTCAAGATTTCTATGTCAACCCCTAGAGTAAGATTTCTCTGTCAACCCCTAGAGTAAGATTTCTATGTCAACCCCTAGAGTAAGATTTCTATGTCAACCCCTAGAGTAAGATTTCTATGTCAACCCCTAGGGTATGATTTCTCTGTCAACCCCTAGAGTAAGATTTCTATGTCAACCCCTAGGGTATGATTTCTATGTCAACCCCTAGGGTATGATTTCTCTGTCAACCCCTAGAGTAAGATTTCTATGTCAACCCCTAGGGTATGATTTCTCTGTCAACCCCTAGGGTATGATTTCTATGTCAACCCCTAGAGTAAGATTTCTATGTCAACCCCTAGAGTAAGATTTCTATGTCAACCCCTAGGGTATGATTTCTATGTCAACCCCTAGGGTATGATTTCTCTGTCAACCCCTAGGGTAAGATTTCTCTGTCAACCCCTAGGGTATGATTATGATTTCTATGTCAACCCCTAGAGTAAGATTTCTATGTCAACCCCTAGGGTATGATTTCTATGTCAACCCCTAGAGTAAGATTTCTGTCAACCCCGAGAGTAAGATTTCTATGTCAACCCCTAGGGTATGATTTCTATGTCAACCCCTAGGGTATGATTTCTATGTCAACCCCTAGGGTATGATTTCTATGTCAACCCCTAGAGTAAGATTTCTATGTCAACCCCTAGAGTAAGATTTCTATGTCAACCCCTAGAGTAAGACTTCTATGTCAACCCCTAGGGTATGATTTCTATGTCAACCCCTAGGGTATGATTTCTATGTCAACCCCTAGAGTAAGATTTCTATGTCAACCCCTAGAGTAAGATTGGGTATGATTTCTCTGTCAACCCCTAGGGTATGATTTCTCTGTCAACCCCTAGGGTATGATTTCTATGTCAACCCCTAGGGTAAGATTTCTCTGTCAACCACTAGGGTAAGATTTCTCTGTCAACCCCTAGGGTATGATTTCTCCTGTCAACCCCTAGGTATTGATTTCTGTGTAATCCCGTAGGGTATGAGTTTCTTATGTCAACCCCTAGTGTATGATTTCTATGTCAACCCCTAGGGTATTTCTATGTCAACCCCTAGAGTATGATTTCTATGTCAACCCCTAGAGTAAGATTTCTATTTCCCTAGAAGATAAGAAGATTTCTATGTCAACCCCTAGGGTATGATTTCTATGTCAACCCCTAGGGTATGATTTCTATGTCAACCCCTAGAGTAAGATTTCTATGTCAACCCCTAGAGTAAGATTTCTATGTCAACCCCTAGGGTATGATTTCTATGTCAACCCCTAGGGTATGATTTCTATGTCAACCCCTAGGGTATGATTTCTCTGTCAACCCCTAGGGTAAGATTTCTCTGTCAACCCCTAGGGTATGATTTCTCTGTCAACCCCTAGGGTATAAGATTTCTATGTCAACCCCTAGAGTAAGATTTCTATGTCAACCCCTAGAGTAAGATTTCTATGTCAACCCCTAGGGTATGATTTCTATGTCAACCCCTAGGGTATGATTTCTCTGTCAACCCCTAGGGTAAGATTTCTCTGTCAACCCCTAGGGTATGATTTCTCTGTCAACCCCTAGAGTAAGATTTCTATGTCAACCCCTAGGGTATGATTTCTCTGTCAACCCCTAGGGTATGATTTCTCTGTCAACCCCTAGGGTAAGATTTCTCTGTCAACCCCTAGGGTATGATTTCTATGTCAACCCCTAGAGTAAGATTTCTATGTCAACCCCTAGAGTAAGATTTCTATGTCAACCCCTAGAGTAAGATTTCTATGTCAACCCCTAGGGTATGATTTCTATGTCAACCCCTAGGGTATGATTTCTATGTCAACCCCTAGAGTAAGATTTCTATGTCAACCCCTAGAGTAAGATTTCTATGTCAACCCCTAGAGTAAGATTTCTATGTCAACCCCTAGAGTAAGATTTCTATGTCAACCCCTAGGGTATGATTTCTCTGTCAACCCCTAGGGTATGATTTCTATGTCAACCCCTAGGGTATGATTTCTCTGTCAACCCCTAGGGTAAGATTTCTCTGTCAACCCCTAGGGTATGATTTCTATGTCAACCCCTAGAGTAAGATTTCTATGTCAACCCCTAGAGTAAGATTTCTATGTCAACCCCTAGAGTAAGATTTCTATGTCAACCCCTAGGGGTATGATTTCTATGTCAACCCCTAGGGTATGATTTCTATGTCAACCCCTAGAGTAAGATTTCTATGTCAACCCCTAGAGTAAGATTTCTGTCAACCCCGAGAGTAAGATTTCTATGTCAACCCCTAGGGTATGATTTCTCTGTCAACCCCTAGGGTATGATTTCTATGTCAACCCCTAGGGTATGATTTCTCTGTCAACCCCTAGGGTAAGATTTCTCTGTCAACCCCTAGGGTATGATTTCTCTGTCAACCCCTAGGGTAAGATTTCTCTGTCAACCCCTAGGGTAAGATTTCTCTGTCAACCCCTAGGGTAAGATTTCTCTGTAAACCCCTTCGGTAAGATTTCTCTGTCAACCTCTATTGTATGACAGATAGTGGGTGCACCGGAAGTGAACCGGGACTACTTCTACACACATTGTATTCTACATGTATGTAAACAAATACACATGATGAGATTCAAGGCTTGTTGTCCTGCACAGCTTAGACGAAATAGATGGAAACCAAAACTGAGCTGTATTTCCGTAATTTCTTTTAAATCTACAGTTCGTTGTTTCTCTTTTGTTCAATTTCAATACAAATTTGGACAAATAGCACTGAAGCATATGAACAGTATGAGTTAATGATGATGAATGGGATTAGTTTCCTCTAATCCTTTCCTACCGTCTCCTTCAAATCTGAAGTTGAGTTCACAAGTGTAATGTTATCATACTTCATGTAGCAAAATCAAAATTTTCACATTTGATAAATTACTGGAGTGATGATGAACTTGTACATTCATAAAGATAGCCATAGAAACTATATACAGTAACTGCAATTAAGGTTAATTTTTAATTAAAATTGAAATTCATATTTTAACCCAAAAAGGCACGAAAACAGGGTTATCGTCAAAAATTTGCATGTTCATGGCAACTGTACTGTGATTGACCTCTATGAAAGAAGCTATTTTTAAAGGGCTCAATTTTTTCAAGGTTTTTCTGAAAATATTATCATATATATCATTTGAATATGTAAATTCATGCATTAAAATGCAGATTCTACTTAACACCCTTTAATCTGTAACTTTATACGTGTACTTGCAGGTCTGAATAAACTACATGACTTACGTTTTTACTAGTATCCCTGAAAATAGGAAATATGAATTCTACAAAATAATTTGTTTATTCTTTCTTGTAGGACCAACACTTAAGACAATGAGACCCAAGATTGTGAAGAAATACAAGGAACAAATAGAGGCATTTTATGTTGAATCTTAATGATAGCAGCTCAGACATGTATGTTTTAATCTATGATTGACTGGAATGAAAATATCATACAGCTTAGGGACTTACTGTTGGTAGTGATAAAACATGCACAAAATTTTATTCATGAAACTATAGGTATAAACAACGTTACAGAATCTCTAAGATCGAGGGTAGGAACACAGCTGAGGTGGTGGTGACCTCTGATATTGTTTGATTTTATACTCATTTATTGTGCATTTAATGCGTAATGATTTGCCTGTATTTACTGGAAAATTTATGATTTCTTAAAGAACAGGATGAAACAGAACACAATGTCGCAAACTTTTTCTAAGGAACATTTGTATACTCTGTTTCTTGTAAGTGAATATTCTCTTTGTTGAGAAACTTATACTATGCAAAAATTTTTGTGACAGTATTTCAATTTACCATTTTGAGATTTTTGTGTTGTGCCTGTGTTTTTTACTATACATTATTTAAATGTTTTGGAATTAAATTAACTTTTAGGCCAATTTTCATGGCCATTCTTCTCTAAAATGATTTGACTGAATTTGGTTTTCTATAGGAAAAAGATAACTAATTTAGATCTTTTTCTTTGGGAAGGCCTTTCTGCTTACTGAGCACTAAAAATCCTCTTTACATAATGCAAAAGCAAGAGAAATTGTCCATAATGAATTTAATTATGGTGGTAATGATTGTTATGTTTACGTACAATAATAAATTTTGGAATTGTTGTCCTCAAGGATAATGAATCTTGAATATAGATTGTTTTTGAAGGGAGAAAGCTTACCAGAGAAACTTTTTATTTTGACTTCAGTTAAGAGTGCTACAAATGATTTTTACATGGTGATATGCAAAGGTATGATAGAGTTGTCTACCCTGTTAGGGATGCATGCTTAACTCCCCTGGTGCTTTGAATGATTGTAACAGGGATATTCATGGTTGGTTGGATGAATCTGCCAGGAGCAGTAGAGGAGTTCATAAATTATTGCATAAATCTTCCACTTCTGAATAAACGATAAGAAGTAAACCTAAAACCTGATATCATGTGTTTTCAGGTCATATGATGTTTAATTGCTGGTTTCTCAAAATAGGATTTACATGTAAACTAAATTATTCCTATAGTCTTCATAAATTATTACAGACTTTATCAAAGATGACCTGAGCATAGTTTTCAATGCTTACCTAAAGCTGTTTCTGAAGCTGTGTTGTGCAGTCTTGATTTGAATTTTACCTCTACATGGTTATAAATGGAGACTTTAAGAGCTTATGTGTACATGCTTGAAAGATTACTTTTTACAGGCTCAGTTGAAGCTTACCTGTAACAATCATGAAAGATTACCTTTATAGGCTTAATTTACTACTTGTAAAGACTTCATTGATGCTAAACTATACATGCTTTACATGTAGCAAGCACTTTAACAGACCTATTTGAAACTTAGTTGTTCAGACTCTAAAGATAATTGTATGACTTAATAGATACTTACATATAAACACTACAGTTTTAATTAAATGTAGGATTAAAGCTTACATGTACACACGTAACGGAAGTCTTTCTGTACAAACTTACCTGAAACCTGTGTTAAGAACTGTGATTATGTGTTTTCAGGACTTGGCTTTGTGTAAAACTATACATGTATATCAAACAGTTGGTAAATGAAACCCTTCTTTTTGTAGGAGAGATTTATAAAAAGTATTTTAAATGATAAGTGCTTCCAGTCAGGTAGTTAAATACAATGTCATTGGTGTATAAAGTTGATTTCCTCATATCTATATATTTTTCACATTTTGCATTATATATTTACAAAAATGACAATGAAGAAGTGTTGAAAAATCGGTATACAAAAGCAGAGATCTTATAACAATACTGTAGTTATGTAGATCTTGAACAGAAATTACAATTACTTGTGTGTGTATGAATAACTGATGAGTTGTGTAATGTGACCTTGACTCAAATCTTGTTTGATAAGGTAATCCATTATATACAGCTGTACAACAGAAAGTGAGATTTCAGATGTGGGAATATGACATACAAATGTAAATTGTCCGCTATGTTGCCATTTAATTAACTCTTATTTTTATACATCCCAGTATATTTTATCATGCTGTGATACATCTCCAAACTTTCTACAAGAAAAGACCAGGAAACATTGGTGTAGTTTGATATTATATAAATGTTATATATTAATATATAGAAAATTTGAATGAAGACCACAATATAGAATGCCTACCAACCCCTTAGCTTTTGTAAAGAATTGCTCTTCTGAATGTTTACATTAGTTTATCTCCCACTTGTTTGAAAAAGACTATTCGAGAGAATATAATTATAATGCTCAATTTTTTTTATCTTAATATTTTCGAGACAATGGCTAGTCTAACCATTACAGTGCCCTGATAAAGCTTGGTACAAGCTGGTTAAGAGTTGTTGTAAATCAGCAATATATCTTTACATATCATTAATAATTATTGTGTTTAACATTTGAAGTATACTTGTAGCTCATTTTTACTTATAACAAATATAAAAAAAATACACTGTAGTACATGTAAAATGATACTATTACTGACCAGCGGTGTATAGAGGTACTGACAATACCCAGGTCGTATGACATGATTGGGGTCAGAACATATAGAGGTACATGTACTGACAATACCCAGGTCATGTGACATGATTGGGGTCAGAACATATAGAGGTACATGTACTGACAATACCCAGGTCATGTGACATGATGGGGGTCAGAACATATAGAGGTACATGTACTGACAATACCCAGGTCATGTGACATGATGGGGTCAGAACATATAGAGGTACATGTACTGACAATACCCAGGTTTGTATGACCTTTTAGGTGTCTGTATATATAGAGATAGGTGTCTGTATATATAGAGATACTGTCAATGAGAATTATATTAACATTAATTGATTTCCCAATAAATTTTACAACAAGGCAGATTATACACTTGCCATTTATATACATGCATACGTGTATTTAATATAAGATTTGTATGAAACATATGAAAATAAAATATTTTTATAAAAAAAAAATAGATCTGTTATCTTCATTTCCTTTTCAACAGAAAGATATCAGTGAAAGAATGCTGTTTCATTACATCTGTAAATGATATTTTCTTTTGAAATTCTACTTGTAGAGAAAAGCAAAATTTTGACTAAATTTGTTGTGGCTACTCATTGTGTTGTAAAAACAGGTGTGGTCTTCTTGTGAAGAGGGATACAAAGACATAGGGCCAATAAGGGCAATCTTTGAAATCCTTTCGCAGACAAAATGATATCTTGAGTATCCTTTATACCAGGGCAGTCACCGGGTACTCGGCACATCGGTTGATTTTTCATCGGGAACTCCAGTACTCTTTCACCACTTAAAAACTGGAAGGACTTTGAATGACCCTGGTTGTTAATGGGACTTATAAGTGAAAACATTTTCCTAACTTGGGGATTCTTTCCCTAGTTGAGATATTCAGCTCTCAGTTTTTATGCTATGCACTAGAAATTCCTATATACCACTGTGTAGAAGTAAAAGTAAAGTGTATAATTTCTAATGCAATGAATTCAAAAATGTTTTTATTATCCCAGTATAACAAGATATTGACCTTAAAACTATATTCAAATTTCATGCATTGGTCTTTTGAACTGCTTTTTATACATGATCTGTCTATCAGAGTTTCCCAAAAACTACATCTCCTGAACTATTAACATTTTGCCTTCAGTACTGTTATAAGCTTTATCTGATATCCAAGGTGACTGTTGGAGACAATATTTATTTCAACATTTGAAATTGATTACTGCTTATTCTTCAGATATATTGAAAGAATTTTGAATTTTCGGAACTTAAGGACCATGTTCAATATGTGTTCTATATGTGCATGCCAAATTTTGAGCTGCATCAGATATGTCAGGTGGTCACTAGCAGCCATTTTGGATTTCACCAACACATACTGTCCTCAGTATTATTTTTTTCATATTTGTTTTGACAAAGCAACGATCTAAAATTCCAGACCAGTAATTGGTACTTATAACTGAAAAAGTCTTAAAAACACAAACAATATGTATTAGAAAACGTATATATCTTTATTATATTATTCCTGAAATGAATATAAATGTTAGAAAAATATATAGATAACATGTATATGTATCTGCTGTAGCTATTTTTTTATTATCTTTTTTTCCCTCTTTAATTACAAAACAAATCCCAATAACATACAGGAAAAACAAAAATGGTAAATGATGGAGTATTATTTGTTTGGACTGGATTAATTAGTTATCAAAATTTATTTTTGTAATTCATGTAAAGTGGTGAAAGATTCTGTGATTATTTTCATTTGATGGTGTTTTACACAACTAAAGTTCTGTCTCGTACTACATTACCTAAACAGAGTTTCTTCATGTTCTGACATGTAATAATCTGTTAACATTATACAACCAAATTATTAATCAGATGAGAAGTAACAAACTGGGAATTTTTCTTTATACATTTGATCTCCGAAGCAACTCTCCATTGTTCAAATAATTAAAAAACTTTGGTCATTTAATCAGAGAGAAGTAAATATTTTTACAAATCTGAAAAACAAAGTATTGAAAATAACTTTAAAGCGATACAAAAGATATTTCAAGTTTCTTTGGGTATTTCATAGTAGATTCATTTATATCATTATATCTTTGTAGTAACTGGTAGATTCATAAATGATACAGTCTTTCTGAGTAACTGATAAATGTATTGAATTCAACCTAAAAAGCCAACTGTTCACTTTAAAAAAAAAAAGACAAACAGGAAATACTTTTTTTATAAAATCATAAATTTCAATCATACTTCGTACAGTAAAAGAAGCCAAAATATTGAATGTTGAATAGGTACGGGTAATTCAATTACAAAGTTGGGATGCTTGTGAGTGAATGGTTGTGCTCATTAGGTCAAATATTGTAAATATGATAACTCCTTTGTAATAACCAACAGGTGGTTTATTATGTTCAATGTAAATGTATATTAATTTACAAAAATAACATCATAATAGACCTCGTGAAAAAACCTTCAATTTCTCTGTACTAAAAATCATTAGAATATTAAATATAAAACAACAACAGTATGTATGTCGTTTTCAGCTCAGATCAATCTTTTTCCTTCAGGTAGTGTCGGCCAATCCTATTCTAATCTCATTATATTCATCCTATACTCTCTTTGCATATTTAACAAAAAATAAAACAATATATTATCATACATTCTATATTCATCACTCAGTAGATAAAACGAAATCATCTAAAAAAAATTAAACTGGAAATTAGACATTAACGAAATACAGAAATATCTCAAACTTTTTAGTACAGCCTATGGTTTTAAGTTTAATGTATTTCAGTGAAATTATGAGAAATAAGAGTTTGATTGAATTACATCCAAAC